TTACTAACTAAATTCCCGTTGGGTTGTAGATAAGTATGTGCGAACGTCCGCATAGGGAAGGAAGGCCAAACAAGAAATACATAGGGCAGGATTACATAGGCGACGATTCATTTCCATCAACTTCCTCAACGACGGTAAGGATTACAAAGCATGGCGAAACAGGTTCTTTTTAGGAATCACAATCCAATGCGGACAGCAGCTCAACAATTCCAAAGGGACTGTCTCCTAATCGTTCAAGTAAGTCTTCGGTTTTGCTATTACTTATATAAATTTCAGATGGAGGGCATGTAACTAGCACCCCCAAACAGAAGCGAAGAAGACATGAGCAATCAGTTACCCACCGGAGACATAGGCATCATAAGAAAGGATCTCATTGGACAGCCTCCGGTATAAAGGAAATACTGGCTGGGCAAAGAGAACTAAAAGCCCAGATGGAAGCAATTATGGAGGTTGTTCGTCACCTGGCGGCATCCAACTCACTGCCGTCAGCCGTTGAGACACCAATTGTGCAACGAGTTTGCACATTGGCTGGTTATGACGAGCTGACGACAAGAGTGTCGGACACGTCATACAGGCGAAATTTGGTAAACAGTGTTCGTTATTAATAATAACCAAATTCAGGTTGCCTACCTATCAACCATGGGGGGTGACACTGTTTCGGCCTTTGCCGAACGACTATTTTTCACCATTTTTTCTGAGGACGTGGCCGGGTATACCAGGCTTTCTTCCGTAAAAAGTGAGGAACTCGGCCACGTCCTCTGAAAAAAGGGTGAAAAATATTCGTTCGGCAAAGGCCGAAACTGTGTCACCCCCCATGGCCGATAGGTAGGCAACCTGAATTAGGTTATTATTAATAACAAACACTGTTTACCAAATGTCGCCTGTAAGACGCGTCTGACACTCTTGTCGTCAGCTCGTCGTAACCGCCCAATGTGCTGACTCGTTGCACAATGGGTGTCTCAACGGCTGACGGCAGGGAGTTGGATGCCGCCAGGTGACGAACTACCTCCATAAGTGCTGCCATCTGGGCATTCAGTTCTCTTTGCCCAGCCAGTATTTCCTTTATACCGGAGGCTGTCCAATGCGATCGTTTCTTATGATTCCTATGTCGGCGGCGGGTAACTGAATGCTCATGTCTTCGTCGCTTCTGTTTCGGGGTGCTAGTGACATGCCCTCCATCTGAAATTTATATAAGTAATAGCAAAACCGAAGACTTACTTGAACGATTAGGAGACAGTCCCTTTGGAATTGTGGAGCTGCTGTCCAAATTGGATGTTGATTCCTAAAACGAACCTGTTTCGCTATGCTTTGTTATCCTTACCGTCGTTGAGGAAGTTGATGGAAATGAATCGTCGCCTATGTATTCCTGCCCAATGTATTTCTTGTTGGGCATTCCTTCCCTATGCGGACGTTCGCACATACTTATCTACAACCCAACGGGAATTTAGTTAGTAAGGTTATGGGCCGAAACTAATCTAAGTCCCACAGATCCCCCGCACCATTTGCGAATCTGTAAATAAGGGACCGTTGGGTT